GTAGGTGTTTATGCCTTCAGGAAATGCCCCCCTTAAAGATATACTTTTTTTCACCGATTCTACTGATAGAAAAACATGTTTACCAGAAACAGTTTGTATTTTCAACAGTATTTAAAAAGTTAAAATTATGTCTCGGCACATTTATATGAAGTTCTAGAAGAAGTAAAATGAATCAAAGGTGATAGAAATCAGATTAATGATTGCTTGGAGGTGGATTGACTAGGAAGGGGCACAGGGAACTTTCTGGAGTGATGAAAATGCTCTGTATGTTAATAGAGGCGTTGGCTCCAATGAGCATTTATCAAAACTAGTCAGCTTGTATTGTTAAGTTCTGTGCATTTATGTAAATTATACTTCAATTTTAAAAAAGCTTTAAAAGCTATCTTAACATTTTTCTAGTGTTTTAAAAATTCTCAAAACACCTTTCCCTGCCTTTCACAACTAAGAGAAAGGAACAGTATTATAATTTTCATTCAGTTACTTCTGAAAAAAATTTGAGGAAAATTTTAGCAACATTAAGGTGTGGGCCTTTCCTTAGACTTTGATGTGTCACTTTTCTTTTATGGGAAGAATGGTAAAACAGCTCTTGAAACAATGAAGCTGACTTCATTTGCCTGTGTGCATCCCCCTAACCCCAGGCTTCCCTCAAACCCACCCCTCCAGTGTGCTTCTGACTGGGGTTTGTGTATCAAAGTATTCATTGGATTAAAAAAAGCTATAGTCGTCCTTAGATGAATTTTTTCTGTCTTGCTACTTGTGCCCTTCGGTAGACTGTAGACCTGGTAAAGCCTCTGTTCCCCTTCTTAGTCCAGTTGACAGGTAAAACTTCAGGGGTGATAAATAGGAACTGGTCTGAATAGCCAAGTACTCACAGGTAGCATGCTATCTTTTCAGTCACAGACTTCTTTAATGCCTTACAAATGGGGTGCAAGAAGGAGTGGGGATGGGAGTATTGAAGTTCACCCAGGTGTTTGCCCAATCTCTGACAGGACTAAGATTTAAAAACTACTTCCTTGGACCCTGAACCCACTTAGATGCTGTTGATTGTAAAGACATGAAAATTTCAAGGCCCTCAGATAGAAACTGTTGAAGTGGTTTTATCCTGTCGTTCTCAAACACTACCAGGTGTAAGCTGCTCTGCTTCCAGCTCTGGGCCAAAGGTGAGATTCACTCTTGGGGCACAGTGAAATTGTATCTTAGCACATTTATATGAAGTTCTAGAAGAAGCAAAACTAATCAGAGGGCTCCAGAGCTGGCTGGGTTGGTCATAGAGGGACACAGGTGGGATTTGTTCTCAGCCTAGAGCCAAGGCCTGCAGAAGACTGTTTATGAGTGGGGAAGGGAGAAGATGGGCATCTGCCCCCTTTTATTATTGTCCTTTCTTTGGGGTGGAAGTTATAAGCCCTTGGTGTGGTATTCATAATCCCTACTTTCTTACAAAGAAATGCATTTCTTTCTTTTCTTAACTATAGAAATGCAAACGTAAGTAAGCTTAATTTCTAAGCAGGGGCATGGGGCGTTCAGGCTCTGTAACTTCCTCTCTCTTGTTGGAAACTTCTCAAGGATGGAGTCCTTATCTGTTTTGTTCAGCAATGAATCTGTCTCCAGGTACTGGGGCAGTGCAAGATAGGTGCTCACTAAATATTGGTAGAATTGGTGGAATTGGGAGGACCACACAGACCTGGGTGTGGCAGTACCTAGTTAAGAACAGTGGCGAATATAGTTAGGATCTTTCAGTTCCTTTTGCTCCTCACAGGAAGGAAACCTTTTTCTGTGGGGGAAATCAGGGCTCTATAGGTCCCATGGGGGATTTTTCCCAATAATGTCCCTGCCATTCATTCATTCATTCATTCATTCAATGTGTGAGGCACTGTGCTTTACCCTTAGAATGAGTGAATGAATGAATGAATGAATGAATGAAATCACATGGCAGTGTCCATGTCCTCATCTTTATGCAGGAAGTTGAACTAGAATATCTCTGAAGAGGGATAGTGTGAGGTATCATTTTTCTCCTGTCTCCAACCTCAGTCTCAAGACCAAAATAGCTGGCCTGGTTATAGAAGGAAATAGTACTGAACGACTCTCACTGGTACTGGGGCCACCCACACCATCCTCATGAAGGGCTCCAGCTCACAGAGAAATGAGCATCTTGCCCATGGTGCGCCTGTGATGGGAAGTGTGTGCCCAGGCGATGAGCAGTGGTTTTATTGTTTGCCCCTCCACTTACTGTGTGGCTAATGATAGACCTCTGCCATTTTCCCATAGGCCACTCCTCTCAGACTGTGCTTTTGACAGTGATACAGGCATCTGGGGGTGTGGTGAGGTGAAGATACGTCTCTTTTCCCAGCAGACAGCCTGCTTTTCCTACACATCAGGATGGCTTCCCTCAGGGATCTTGGGCAGGAGCCACTTATTACTAGGAATAGGAATGTTCCAGACATCTTCAAACTAAGTGGGTTGGAATTGGCCCAGCTACCCCGTGCTGTTGGGAATTATGCCAGGGACTGCTCATTTGTGGTTTGTGCCCTTGATTTTCCTCTCCTGCACTGTGACTCCTGGGAGAGAGAGGGTCATTTTCTGGTTTCTTATTCAGTACCAGCACAAAGGACTCTGCTCAACAAATCCTGTGATGATTGATACTGAGACTCATGGTGAATCTTCCTAACCATCTAAGCCTATAAAAAGCTCCTTGAAAAAATAATATGTGTCAGTTGAATTGGCATAGAAACATGGAATGATTTCAGTGGAAATGCTGTGAAATGCCACGATTTGGTATCAAATAGTCGTTGGGACAGTTGTGCATGGATGCCGTCATCTGGATTCTCTCCCGAAGATTTTGTGATCGTGCAAATGTAATTGCCACTCTGCGAGTCTGTATCGCACATATTTCCTTATAAGTGCTCTAAACATATTGTTCAGGTTATCTCCATTCCACAGGCTCCATCAGCAGCCGCCTTTCTCATACACACCTGTCCCCTAAGTATGGCTGCCATTTCTTCTTCTAAAAGCCTACCTTAATTTTGATTTCTTTTTTCTCAAAGCCTTCCTTTAGCACCGCAGATCTCAGTGAGCTCAACTTTGTGTAACAAGTTTGATGTGTGCTAAGTCATGGTCTTTTCTCATCTATTTACCTTGCATTGCTAATGTTTAGTCACACCTTTCTATCTTGGTATTCACCTCTTGAGGAAAACTAAGGACATGTCCTATACAGTTCTATGTCCTGCAGCCCCTAGTGAAGATTAGTAATGCATATATACCTCTAACACAGATTGAGATGCTGTCCTAAAGATGACAACTGTGAAGTGTGTTAATTATTCCCATCATGCAGATGGGAATAAAACGGGGTTCATTTTGGTAGGACAAATTTGAATAAAGTCACACAACTGCTAAGTTTCAGGACAGACAAAATTTGAACTGGACTTTTGACTCAAAGTTTCTTTTTCTTTTTTGTTTAAATTATTTTAACTTTTAAGTTATATTTATTAATTTGGATTGGTAATACAGACGTTCCTCAACTTACAATGGGATTATGTCCCAATAAACCATCATAAGTTGAAAATATCATAAGTTGAAAATGTATTTAATACACCTGACCTACCAAACAGCGTAGCTTAGCCTAGCCTACCTTAAATGTGTTCACAACACTTCCATTAGCCTATAGTTGGGCAAAATCATTTGGCAACACAGCATACTGAAGAGTGTCGGTTGTTTACCCTTGTGATCACATGGCTTACTGGGAGCTGAGGTTTGCTGCCGCTGCCCAGCATTATAGAAGTATTGTACTACCTATTGTTAGTCTAGGAAAAGATCAAAATTCAAAATTTGAAGTATGGTTCCTACTGAATGCATATCACTTTTGCACCATCATAAAGTCAAAAATCCTAAGTCGACCTATTGTAAATTGGAGACTGTCTGTATGTGTACATGGTAAAACAATTCCAAAGGTTGTATTATACCCCACCATACTGCTTATAACTTAATACTTGCTTGTTTTCAAACTGCCCTTATTTTCCTCTAAGAAGCCAGTTTGCTATTCTGACTTCTGCTATTCTACTAGTGGCTCTATTACAAAATGCAGGGACAATTTTTTTACCCTTCTGTCACCCATCCCTGCTAGTTGATCACTCAAGGCCAGCTCAGACCTCAAAGGGCCTCTAATCCAAATCTGCCTCATCCATTCTCACTGCTCCCCCGATTCAGCCTTCACTCCTTACTCAGATATCATAGTCTCGCTACCCTTCCTACCTCCCTACCTGCTTTCAGTTCATCTTAGGGTAATCTAGAACCCTTCAGAAATGTACAGGAAGCTCTTATACTTTCTGATTGAGTTCTTAGCCTACAGGTAAATTTTTAACTATATTTTTTAAGCTGTTTAGTTAGTTTGGTAGTCTGGGGAAGCCATTCTCAGTTTTTAGATAATGGTTTTAAATGCATAAAATAAAACACATAGGATTATAAAGGGAACGATTTATATTGAAATAGTTATTAAATTATTTTAAAACCAAATTTTGATATAGTAATCTATAGGTATCCTTATTAATAGACTAAATAGCAAAGATCTCCCAGTAGGTGTAATAACTATCACCATTTCAAAGCAGCAATGAGCACAAAAGATATTTTGAGATACCCATAGCATCTATGATGTGATATGAAAATATCTGTGGTTTGTTTGGTGATGAGTCACAGGTCCTTCTAATATTGATGTGTTACCTACCCTACATTCATAACCAAAGCAGATGCCAAATTTCAGTTAGAGGCCAATGAAAATGAAGTATTAATTTTGTCTGTTTGCATTTATGGACCCCAGGTAAACACCCCCTTCTTTAGCCTGAATCTCAAGGCTCTATGTGGTCTGTTTTCTTGTTCCCTGTTAACTTTAAAGCCATCTAGTCTCCCTGCGTGGGCTCTGCATGCTATACCATACAGACGGGAGCAAAATTGGAAACCACCATGTCTAACCTGACCCTTGCATCTCTGCTCTTTTGTTTGTATCTCTGCAGGTAGAGGAAGGATGGTGGGAAGGTGTTCTCAACGGGAAGACTGGAATGTTTCCTTCCAACTTCATCAAGGAGCTGTCAGGGGAGTCGGATGAGCTTGGCATTTCCCAGGATGAGCAGCTATCCAAGTCAAGTAAGGAAGTCCACCCTACCAAGCAGGAGCGGGGTGGGGGACTGGCAGGCTGTGCTCCAGCCTCCCTTCTGTTCTGTATCCTATGCCGAGAGGCTGTGGTAAACGCTCACGAGTATTTTTTTGGTTATACTACCTTAACCCACTGTGGTTTAGGAAGCTGATCACTATAAAGGTGTGACCTATAGCCACACATTCTGTATGTCTCTGGATAGGTAACTGCCAGCCTTCATGCCCTGGTAATACTGTCTCATGGGTGGCCCATGTTGCTGTGCCTCCATATACTTCTAGAGTGTTGCTTACTGTAAGTTCATAATTATTTAAAAAATGAACCAAATGGGATTGTCAGTATTTCTCAGCATCCCTTGAGGGACTTGGAGAAATTACAAAAAAAAAAAAAAAAAAAAATCAGTGATGGTGAGAAGTAAAGTGCTATGACAAGATGAGTGCATGCCAATCCCCTTAAAAGTAGGTCAAGACAACTGAGAGTCCAGGTCCCACCTTGGGTGGTGAGCATGTGTGTCCTTCTGCGATGGTGACAACGAACTTCAGGTCTTTCTTTCTCCAGGGCCTGAAGGTCTCCCTCCAGCTTCTCTGCTGCCCTTTCCAGCTCACGGAGCAAAAGGTCAGGACCGGGAAACTTTGTTCTCCCAGTCACTAACCCAACTGTGGGCGTCTGTGTATCTCTTGTGCCGTCTTGAGCCAAGGTCATGGGCATGAATGTTGTAGGAGGCTCAACTGTGCAGCACTACCTGGGGTTGCAGAATTTCCTTTCTGACAAGAGGAGGGCAGCTTAGTCCTGCCCAAATCATTCTTAAATGTCTTCCTTTTTCATTTGGAAAAACCTGACTTGAGTGGTGTTCTTGTGTTAGTTTGTGTCTCTTTTATTTAACCAGTAGTATGATTAGACAAATGTCTGATTTGGAGGTAACGCCATTTCCAGAGAAGTGCTCAGGCGACTTCCTTCACTTGGTGTCTCAGCAGCAGCTCTGGATGATGTAGCCTGACATACCCAGAAACAGCAGCACTTGCTGGTTACCCAGTGGCTTCAGCAGTGCTCCTTCCCTCCACTGCCAAAGCCCGGGACCCTCCTACCCCTGAACCCCATTCCATCCTAGAGTCTATGGTAGGAAGGTTTGGAAGGGGTTGAGGGGCAAACAAGGTGTCTTGGAGCTCCTGTTGCCTTCTCTGGCTCAGGGCAGGAGGATTCTCTATTAACATGGCACAGCTGATGAGTACTACTGGGAGGGGAGAAGGTGTCCTTGATCCCACATTAGTGGAAGGTACTATTGCTTTCAAAATCCATATTAGAATTCTAGCTTCCCTGGTGTCTTCTTTTGTACTCTGGAATAACTATTGTACCTGGTAATTAGGTCCCATAATAACAGTACTCTATGTTAGGGACATTGTGGATTAAATGGGATTTTTTGGAGGAAGGACCAAATTGGGTCATTATAACATTATTTCCATGAATAAATTCATTACAAGTTCCAATAGCAATAATGTGCATAAACCACCTTGCTCCATAGCAGACCCATACTAAATGGTAGCTCTCATTGTTAGTCAAGATAACTGTTGAGATATAACCAGTTAGTATCAGTTGCTTGGAGGCTGCTTGCATACTGATTGATAGTGTGTTGGCTGAAGCATTGTGACTGCATTTGGAAATTACTTCAGAGTTCCTCTACTGATGCAGAGGAGGAGATCTGGGGAAGTATTAGACAACCTCTTAGGAAAAGTCTTGACATCTTGGTGTCCTGCCATCTTAGCTATGCTCTCAGAGCTGGAAGATCAGGGGAGTAATGCCTCTTGTATCTTTAGAACTATTGAAACAAATTGACTTCTCTCATTCCAAGTCAGTAATATGGACAGCTCACCTTGGCTGACCCATCAGTTAAAGGTATATGGTGCTGGAATTCCTGGTACAGAGGATTAGGAGGTTGGGTGGAATGGTCTTCCCATTTAGCATTTTGTCATCACCTATTCAGAAGGGGCATTTTCTCTTCTAGAGACTGTTCCCCCCACACAGTTACTCAATTAAAAGCCTTCCATTTCAAGACCAGGAGAGCCCAATAGTTTCAGCAGCCATGTTTAGTTGCCATTGTTGAGGGGATTTTGAATCCCGGGAGAGGCATGGTCTCCTAACAAGGATGGTTGCTTCTGATAAAGGGTACATGGCTTTTGTAATCTTCCTGTATAAGCAGTTAAGGAAAAGAGAGCCCATCTCTCCATCCATTGGTCCATATCCATCTATCTATCCATGCTTCTTTCTCTCCTTCCTTCCTTCTATTCTTCATTCATTCAATCTTTATTGACACTGTGTTGTTACTAAAACACTGTCCAAGGCACTGACGATATACAGAGACAAATCAGACAGGGTCCCTGCTTTCAGTAAGCTCACACTGCAGAAAGCGGACATGCAAACCCAAGTTCAGCAAAGTGTCCAGGTGCTCTGCAAAGTAAGCATCTGAAGAAGAATGGGGCACAAAGAAGCCAGTCCCATGGGGATGTGGGGCTTCATAGAGGAGCAGATGTGAGGATAATGAATAGCTTGCTAACTTGAAGTAATTCCCTGAAAGAGAGAAATAGTATCTCTCAGTGTTCTGACAGAATTTCCAGTAGCAGGCCAGGCATGGTGGTTCATGCCTATAATCCCAGCACTTTGGGAGGCCAAGACAGGTGGATAGCTTGAGCCCAGGAGTTTGAGACCAGCTTGGCCATCATGGTGAAACCCTGTCTCTACTAAAAACAAAAACAAAAAAACAAAAATTAGCCAGGCATGCTGGCACATACCTGTAATCCCAGCTACTCAGGAGGCTGAGGCATGAGAGTGCTTGAACCCGGGAGGCAGAGGTTGCAGTGAGCCATGATCACATGACTGTATTCCAGCCTGGGCTACAGAGAGAGACTATTTAAAAAATATATATATCCAGTGGCCACTTACACCCTGAATTTGCTTCAGTGTGTGACTATGTTAAGATTTCTGTAATTGGATCAGATCACATACAGAAATTGTATGTACTGGTAGGATTTCTGTAAGTAGAGCCTTTGGTTTTAAAAGGGATCTGCTTATTCTCCATTCCCAGATAATGGTGTTAGTAGTTTTGATGTGCTTTACTTAAAACAAAAACAAAAACCTTTTTGTTTTGAAATATAGATTAACAGAAAGTTACAACAATAAATACAAAACTGTACAGAGAGATCCCTTGTACCCTTCACCCAGTTTCCCCCAGTGATCACAACATCTTTTTATAATTATAGTACATGCATATTACTTTTGTATGAAACCATGAAAGACAAAATGTGGTTCATACATAAAAGACATCTAGCTTTTTACTCTGGTATGAGATAAAATGTACTTAATCTAGGTCTTTGTTAGGCCAACCCACTAATACTCTTCACAAATTACAGTTCATTTTTCACAGAGATTGCTTAATTAATACACAGATATGGGAGTAAGTTAAATTTCTAATGTTTGTGCTATATTGGTAATTTTTAGAGATCATAGTGACATTGTATGCAAACCCTCTTAATTTAAATGCTACCACACATTAGGGTAAGGTTTTTCTAAGAATGACAAAATCTGTATCTGAATATGAACCATGTGTACAGTGAATGCACATATATCTCTTTGTTTCTGACACACACACATACACCCCTACTTCTGTATGTGCACATGTTTATTTGGTATTTGCATTCTTCACATTTCTACTTCCAGAAAGTCTTTGAAGTAGTTATTGAGTTGAATTTTGTGTACCAATGGATGAATGTGATAGAAGAAACATTGGCATTATATTTATAAGGGAGTGTGCCAAGACTGCTTGACACATGGTAGGTGTTTAATAAATGCTTATTGAATCCCCTTTTACTATAAGGAGGCATTTTTATTTTTGAATGACAGGTGAAAGTCTTTTGAACTTGCTTTTCTCTTATTCTGATGTATTTTTACATATGGTAGTTGGTTATGAAAGTCTCTAAACTTTCTTAGATCTTTGTTTAGGGTAATCTAGTCTATCAAAGAAAGAATTGCAATGATTGTGTTGGTGGATATTTTATCCATTTTATCTCAGAGAGTAAAATTTATAGTTATGTAGTAGCAGAAACTTTTTGCTGCATATTTAAATTTGAAAACATCTTTACCATTTTCAGAACTTATGAAGCCTTAAAGGTAGTTTTTCAAAAAAAATCTTATAAACTTTTTTATTATTGAAAATGTCTAACATATACAAAAATAAGAATAGTTTTATGAGCCTCTGTGTACCTATCACTCAGCTTCAGCAATTATCAACCTTTGGCCAATTTGTTAAAATTATAGCCCTCCACAGGCTTTGTCCATATTATCTTGAAGGCAAACCCCAAATATTATATAACTTCATTCATAAATATTTTAACATGCATCAATAAAAGAGCGTCTTAAAATACCGTTTATCTCACACACATACAATTACGGCAATTCCTTAGAATAATTAAACACATGGTCACTGTTCACTTTCCCCTGAAGTCTTCTTTATTACCATTCATTTGAGTCTGTATCCAAATAAAGCACATACATTGCCGTTAGTATGTCTCAAATCTGTTTGAATATATAGATTTCTCCTTCATATCTCCTTTTTTTTCTTGTAATTTTTTTGCTAAAGCAACTGAGCCCCTTTTTCCATTAGTTTCTCACAGTGTGGCTTTTGCCGATTTCATCTCTGTTGTGCCATTAAATCTGTATTCCTATAAATTAATCATTAGATCTAGGGACTTGATTAGATTCAGGAGATATATATATATAAAATATATCGCAGACCTGCCACCTAGGTGGTAATGGATAATCCACTTGGAGGCTCATAATGTCTGGCCATCCTACTTTTTGAGTGTTAGCAGCCATTGATAATTGTCCCCCAAACCTAGTTACTCATTAGGGCTTGCAAAGAGGTTTCAACCAGAAATTTTAAAAAAATAATAAAATGGGCTCCCATGTAACAGATCAGTAGTCCAAAAAAGTGTTTAGTAAATTAGGTTTTTAAAAATCAAAACAGTCAAGTGGTTGTGCTAATAGTGTAGCAGAATCTTATGATGTTAAGGTGGAAAGGAATTTAGATATTATTTAACTCAGTGTCAGATGAGAACACTGAAGCCCAGTGAAATTAACTCCCAGGCTTCTGAGTGATGGGGAGAAAATGACATGCAAGCCTTCCATACACATTCTGGTGCTGCCACCATTGCACAAATAGTTTACCTTTTCACAGGTCATCTGACAAATTTCAAGCCTGAGTACAGTTTAGCTTATTTTTTCCTCTTATTGTCACAGATCATGATTAATTAATTGCCTTTTCAGTTACAATTTTGCACATTCTACTGTTGATTAAATAATGTGCAGTGGCAAAGAAATCCAGATATGACTGCTGTCCAATTTGAATTTCATATGTATTTTGCCTTACATTTAAGACATAAATGTGTCTTTTCTCTTTTTCACATCCTTTGATATTATTTGCTTTCAAATAATGGTTGCAAAACTAAAAGTGTCCCTGTTTTTTAATTCTATAGCTACAGAAACATTTTCAGTTATTTCCCACAATCTTCAGAGGGAGAAAGTTTGCATTTTCTTTCTGTAACCATTAATAACCATGAGTTTTCTGTTGGTATTGAATTTCTCATTTTCCTAATTCCTTATTTAAAAAGTTGAGGTTCTGATACTTTAGTGGCTTGTCAGGCTAAGACAAAGATGAAGATGGAGGCCAGGTGTGGTGGCTCACGCCTGTAATCCCAGCACTTTGGGAGGCTGAGGTGGGAGGATCACTTGAACCCAGGAGTTTGCGACCGGCCTAGGCGACATAGTGAAACTCCATCTCTACAAAAAATAGAAATTAGCTAGGTATGGTGGCATCTGCCTGTGGTCCCATTACTCAGGAGGCTGAGGCAGGAGGATCGCTTGAACCCAAGAGGTCAAGGCTGCAGTGAACTATGATTGTGCCATTGCACTCGAGCCTGGGTGACAGAGCAAGACCCTGTCTCAAAAAAAAGAGAGAAAAAAAAGATGGTTTTAAAAAATGTATAGCAAACCACTGCCATGATGCAGAAATAATTGTGTTTCATTAGCTGTAAGAAATGGATTGCTCAACATCCCTTGCGTATAAAAATGAAAGCCAGTCTGACAAATCCCACTCTGTGGCATCATTAGACTTTTTTTCTTTTTAATATTAGATGGTATTTGTTTGGAGTATGATGTTCTATTAGCAATGAAGAATGATGAGCAAATTGATGTCATAGTTTCAGGCAAAATTAGATGCTAGCGTAAGTGTATGGTTTTGTGTGTAAATTTTAAAACTCTTCCCTTTTATAGTGTTTACTGCCTTCAAGTACTAATATTTAACAGTGACAGTATACTGTTTCCCCCAATAAGATCAACATTACTCATATTCATAACCTTTCCAGTTGGCTGCGTCTTTTGCTCTTCACATAGGACACCTATGTGTCCTCACCCAGCCCCAGCCCAGACTACATCTCAAATTGCCTTGCTGCCAGTGCACGGAGAGACTTTGCAGAAAGGCTTGACCATTCAGAGACATCACAGCCATGGTCTACCTCAGTGACTCTCAGACTTGGTCTTGGGGAAGAACACATGGAAGTTCTAGTGTACTTGGAGGAACATTATCGAAATACTGCCTTTTAAAAATTCTTACACTTCCTTTTTTTCTGACACTTGAGAGGACTGCTGCTGTTAACTTTTAGAGGGCCTAGCTCACAAAACAGCTGTGTTCTGACGACTGGTAACTTAATGATTGAAGTTAAGCAGAATAAAAAATTGCTCGAATAAAAACTAGCCACTGTTACTTGCTCCACTTTTGTCATCAAAGTCCTCAAGAGCTTCACGTCTAGAAAGAACATTTGAAACTTTGTTAGTCTTCAGATTATTCTTACACAGCCAGTGATTCGAATGCCTAAGTTTTTGCTTTAATTGGATAGAATGCATCTGTCAAAAAGGACGCATTTCAAAACAAGGGTATACCACCATGGCTGTAGGACACGGAAATTGGAAATACTTGATCCCATTTAAGTTGTTGGTCTGATCATTCACAATTCCTTTCCTATATGGGGAGGGCCAAGGCCCAGAAGCTGACAGTGTGGTTTTTCTTGGGTTTTCCATTTTAACATGGAATGTTTCTAAGAAGTGAGACAAGTTGCTCTCTCCCTTCACTTAGTTCTACCCCCTGCTTCTCTGTAAATGTAGCCTAGCTTTTTCATCCTCCAGACTTATTAGGAAGCTGTATGACTGGCCTCCAGTTTGAATATTTAATTAACAAGCCATAATATAATTTATTTCTCAGATAATTTAAAGTAATATCTTTATTAATTGAGTTTGGCTTTAGCAAATCATTTTGCCTGTTGGTGGTACTCTCTGTAGGGCCTTTGTGTGTGTGCATGTATGTGGGTGTGTGTGGGGGTGGGGGTGGGTGTGGGAGGGGGGGGGGGTGGGTTGAAGTACACTCAAACCAGGGCAGTATGTGTGTATTCTGTATAGTTGCTCATGGTTCCAGAGGTATTTGGGCTCTAGCCAAGGGTTCAGCCTTATGCAAAATGATAATCTCTACTTGTAACAGCAAAAAAAGATAATTTGACATTTGACACTGGGTGAGTCCTATGTCCTCATGCTTAAGTACAGTTTCATGACTGACACAACAGAATCCCAATTAAGATATTTTGAGAAATAGGATTTTCTGATGTCCTTGGTGCTAAGCAGAAAACCCCATATGTTTATATGGATGCCACTGTTGGTTTCAAACCTTAGTGGTGAACCCCCGCTCTCCAGTATATTAAAACATTTTCTTGCTTAAAGGTACTGAGGGTGACAGATCTTTTAAAGAGAATTCTGTGTCTTGTTTAGAATCTTGGGGACATGAATATTCGTTTTTATCATGTAGGTCTCTAGGGGTAGAAGATAAAGGATAATGTGTCTAAATCTGTATTATGCATAGGTCGTAGTCTCCAAAGAGAAGCTTGTGCTGTACAATTGAGTTAATTAAGGAGTCCATTTGATTGGATTCCCTCTCGTTAATTGAAGTTTTCCTATTCTTTAAGTTACAATGTTGAAATGGCTTACAGGTTTAAACTGGGCATAATGTACATGCCAGTCATTTGCAGAGGCAAGCCCCAATTTCTGGGTGCTCATGCCATACTGGTTGCATGGGGACTTTGGGCTCATTCTGTAAAATTCTTAAATCCTGCTTAATGGTCTCTACTTAATTTTGTGGATGAAGCTCTTGCAGCAGATTCATTGAAGGCAAGTTCAGTTAAAGACTCTTCCTCTTCCTTCTTTTGCCATCATTTGCTCCCTCCTCCCCGCTCTCTTGTTTTTCTCTCCCCTTCTCTTCTCTCATTCACTGTCAGGAAAGACTACCTTTGAAGGGACAATTCTGTACCGAGCTGCACCGGGAAAGACGGAGGGCCACAGACGCTATTACAGTGAGTGACCTTAACAGCAGAAGGCAATTGTAAAGATAAGATCTGGGTACTTGTGTTTTTTGATGCAGCTGCCCTTTCCTGAGCTGCTCATGCTTATGCCAAGTGTCTGTGCGAATTTCTGACCCAAGGACATGGACTTATTTGTCTGAGATAAGTGCCATCTCCTTGGTGTGTGCTAAGAAGCATTCCCAGCACCAGCCCCTAGCGCTTTTGTTTGCTTTCTGCGTCTATCATGTGTGTGATATGCGTGCATGAACTGTACGTGCAAACAAAGGAGCAGTAGCATTTGTCATGGCATATGTATTTGTACCAGTATCTCTGGGCTTCTGGGGTGGTGTAAGATGGCTTCCTGCAGAGATGTCAACCTCTCATGGTTATTGCTTTTTATGAGTGGTCATTGGAAACCAATAAACCATTTTGTCATTGTGTGGTTCAAAGAAGTAAGAATTTGGCATGAAAGTTCATGCCAGAAATGGCATTTTGCTTTGCTCACTCAGCCAATCACCACATGGCAGACTTTTTTTGGCAGGACCAATGTGTAGCCTTTTGTGTTGTGAAATAAGGCTGCCAAAAGTTGAGGGGAAGGAGATGAATGAGATGCCCTTAGAACAGTTCTTGCCACACAGTAAGCTCTATCCATGTGAGTGTTAAATTGAAAATAGATAAAAATGTCTTATGGATCTCAACTGATCAATGCTGGAAGACTGGGTACATTCCACAAAATTGGACAGTTAAAGGACTTTCAGAAACAAAATTGAGGAGGCTTTCTTCTTTTTTTTCACCTTGAAGGAAAAGCATCCAGGTTAGTGTGCATATACATATATGCATACATACATATATGCATGGATATGATGAGAGAGAAAGTTCAGACATGAACACCAGAGCCATGCTTCACAAACTGGGGTCAAGTTTATTCTCCTTACCACTCCACCATGGGAAGGTGCCTGGCCCTACTGCACATGACCTCACTACACATGCAGTGTGCCGCCTGTGCCTCACCGTGGGAGTTTGACAGCACCTAGATTGCTCTGTGCCCTGTTCATTTAGATGACTCCACCACCAGCCACATGTCTGGAAGTTACACCAGTGCACACTGTTAAAACACTAAAGCATCGCCCCAGTCACCATACTTTCTGTAGTTCTCTCACCACTGCCTACCTGTAATGAGCCCTTCATGAACCAACCCCTAACCACAGTCCACACTCTGGGTTGCACAACCCAAGTGTCACCTGGCATTCTGGGCCTGACATGGGGACATTTTATGGGATAACATGCATGATGGGCATGAGTCACTAAAAGATATATCACCAGATGAACATGAAAATGAAAAGTCACCTTTCTTTCCCTCTAAAGGGAAGGAACTCGATTTTGAATTATTTTTTTTTACCAACACAGATAGTTAGATGTTTAATTTATACACTTAAAAGTGATAGAACCAGCCTTCCAGAAGTTCTGGAAGAAAAATCTGCCGTGTGTTTCCTTCCCGGGCCATGCTTGTGTGGTTGAGTGACTGTGCAACCTCTCCCTGTGTAACGTAGAGTATTTCTCACGGTGATTAGTATAAACATATTAAGATGAGCCCAGAAGACAGTATATCCCAAAAACCAGAAGCTCAGTGAAATGAGGATGGCAGTGGCTGAAAATATTATGGTTCTAGCTAATGGTGATTGATAGAAGAACCCTTCAAATTCTTCTCTTTGAAAAACTAAAATAGACTTGCCCTAATCTGTTTGCCCTGCTGCCTTCTGGTGGTGATGGGAGAAGCGTGCTGAGGGACGGGGGTGGTGATGGTTTCTTTCCACTAATGGTTTCGTTATTTCACCCTCGAATGGCTCTTTCCAAGCCAGAAAGGAATATACAAGTCATTTATCACATAGAAAGAATCCATACGGCAAAATGAGAACATGTTGAGGTGGAAGTAATACAATATTTAGACTCCAAAATTGTATCTCCAACAGGGATGTTTGCAAAAACAATGAACAGATAAACACACAAATAGATAGCTAATGGGGGGAGGTTTCTTGATGTTTACACACTCTAATCCTGTCCTGTGAATTGCAGCCGACCCCCTTGTTGTGGGCTGTACCTTATTTGGTCCTGTGTTCTTGCTCACAAATGCTGGTTTTCAGTTAATTAAAATGTACACCGGGGATCTTCCTCCTCCCCCACCTTTTGGCTTAAAAATACCATTTTATGGAAAACAGCAGCAACAACAAACAAAACCATTGTTTTAAGAATTTGATTCTGAAACATGTTAGCAGTTTATAATGACCTTTCTATATTTTGTCTGTTTTCATTTAACAGTTTCTTCCTGCACTGAGACTTCCTTATTTGAATGACTTCAACATTTTATGAGATTTTATGTGAGCAAGTATTTGGTGTATCATTCTTATGGACTAGGAGGCCACCTTATCTGTAGGAAGATAATGCACAATTGGCTAATAGAGAACAATATTTGATGGCGTACTTTCATTTCAAGGGCATGGTTATGATCAGGAGTTACGTAGTAAATGTTCAGGAGCTATTCTACACCTCTAGAGGCTTTCAGAGACAGGTTAATGATAGAGTTTAGTATTCCATAAAATATTCTTTGAATCCTGCCCTTTTATGGCATAATTGATATTCTGACCATCAAAGGAAGAATGTACACCCAGAAATTAACTAGACACAAATAGGCTCTTCCTTTTAGGAACATGATTATGGGCAGAGCCTGGGAAAAAAAGAATCTGGGGAGGTAAGTGTCCATGTTGTCTTGCTGATAACTATTTTATGACTTCCAAACACATGCCACAGAAGGTCAAAAAAAAGAGTATCATGTCCCCCATGTTCTTCTTTGGAAAGGTATTCAGCTTTGGGAAAACAATGGTGTTTAAAGGAGAGAAGAAGGGCTGTAGGTTTGGGGGATTCTGGCCTCTGGGAGGACGGCTTCCTTTCCCTCTTTAACAAACCTGATCATCTTGCTAGTGAAACCGTCTTAATGTCAAGTTTGGTTTAATGCTTTCCTAGAGAAATATGTCTGCATGCATTTATTCCTTGTGAAGCCATCCAAAAAGATTTAATTCTTTGGCAGTTATAATTTTGTGTGGTTTCTTTAATTGCTAATTTGTTTAAATGGCTTTTAGCTTTACAGTTTCCCTTTAGGAAATGTTACTTTCATTACTAATTGCTAATTGACATGAGTCATAGAGATTGGAGGTACAGTATGTGGTACTGACTGGGTGGGGAGGCAACAAAGTGGGTGGGAAGGGTTACTATTGCACAGGCTATGGCAAAACAAATTTGAATCAAAACTAGGCTCCCGGCTAAAGAGGGGTGAATTTCACATGTACGAAGATATCTGCTTTGGAATTAGCTTTGCTGAAAAGTTGTTTTGATTCACATCTTAAAATTAAAAGTAAGGAATGGGGAGATCAAACAAAACTCAGAGCCAGTCAAACTACTGAACATACTGAATACAAAAGCCTAGTGCAAGTTATCCTGTGTCCAGTCACACTTTTAGAGGTGGTTCCTGGCCGGTTGTGAAGTTCTTCTTCAGGGCTCTGGCTGATTTCTGAGCTCTTTCTCTCCCCATTCCCCCTCTTGACAGGTTTAAGGGAAACCACAGGCTCTGAGAGTGATGGGGGTGACTCAAGCAGCACCAAGTCTGAAGGTGCCAACGGGACAGTGGCAACTGCAGCAATCCAGCCCAAGAAAGTTAAGGGAGTGGGCTTTGGAGACATTTTCAAAGACAAGCCAATCAAACTAAGACCAAGGTCAATTGAAGTAGAAAATGACTTTCTTCCGGTGGAAAAGGTATGTTCGACAGTTTCTATTTGATTTCAACATAATGTGGAATATCCAAAAGTATGTTGTGGGGTTTGGTGCCAGAAGCTTCCAATTCCTCTTTTAGGATTTCCGTGTCCTCATGTACTAGCTGTTTGTCCTGTCTCCTTTTTTAGCTCTCCCTCTATGTGGGAATGACTTCCCTCGAAAGGCTTACGCTCTAGTTTGCTGCTTTTTTCTTGCTGATCTCTCTAGGGAATGTTTCTCAGGATGACTTTTCAAATGGACCAGCACTTCTCTATCTGCTTCCCAGAAAAACCCCTTATTCCTGGACCCACCTAAGTGCATGACCCTGACACTTTTCAGACACTGTCCGGTCTCTCTCCTCTCCTTATACATTTCTCTAGTGCTTTGTGCTTGGGTGTGCTGACTGTGGTTCTGCACTAGAGTGAAGGAATTGTGCACCTTTTCTCTAAGAGTTAGTTGGAGATAATCTCAGACTGTTTAAAGGAAGTCTCCTGCGGGTGTGAATGATGGAGATGGCCTGTGCTGTGACTCCCTGGGTTTTTCCCTTCAGGAAGCTGGCTGTTTGCTTCTGCTTCTGGTTCTGGGCTAGCAAGAGGCAGGCAGCATGTTGCTGCTGAGTACGTGGTTACCACAGCAACACACCCAGAGCCCTCGCGCTTGTGGCTGCCGATGACGTCTACTGTGGTATACTTCTAAGCATTGTAGCCTTGCTTAGGAGTTGATAAATACCGTGGAATTTTCCAGATTATAATAAGCTACACTCGTGCTGTGCTTAAGGAATGTTTGTTAATTCGATCTACTGCTGAAATGTTTGCTTTGACGTCTGTGCCAGCAGATTTGGGCAATGGGGTATTGGCAACCTCTCTAATTCAGGTTTATGGGTGACCTTTAAGTGTTTTTGTTTGTTTGTTTGTTTGTTTTTGGTGGGATAATATTTTAAAGGTTGCATCATCTTCTGCAGCTGTAGGACATTCACCCCTCTACCCACCCTCAGCAACCTTGCCCAGTGTCATCATGCATTAGAAACAGAATCTGAAAAGGAAACTTTTCGAACACTAAATCCCTCTAGAGATGAGTCAGGCAGAAAGGGCAGATACCTAGAAATTAAAAACTGTTTCGTTTAAACTCTTTTTTTTTCAATGTTGAAGTTTCTTTCAGCCAGCATTGTTCCTTTTAGCAATCAATATATATTTTTCAAGATCTGAAAACTAGTGTCCCAGCTCTTGAGCTCACTTCTGTTTCATATGGTCACATTCAGATTCCCGTAAACATTTACAAAAGAGCAAGTCCCCATGTTGGAAAGGAACAATGGATGCAGTTTTTCTTCATTTTATTCAAGTGGTTGAAGTGAAAATGACCATTGACTCAGTCAGCAAACAGTTTATTCCTTTTGTTTGTTTTATGATTCCTGGCCTTTATCTTCTTCATGTAGGAGGACAGTGTGTGTGTGTGTGTGTGTGTGTGTGTGTGTGTGTGTGTGTGCGCGCGCGCGCGCGCGCGCGCACATGCGCACGCACGTGTGTGTATGACTCTAATTATTGCTATTAATATTAGTTTTAGCTACCAATAATAAACTGAATTACTGTTGATAGCAGTGTCAATGTCAAATATAATACTTGAAAGTTTTTATCCCAGCACATTTCTTTCCTGAACCTCAGAGCTGTATGTCCAACTGCCTGCTTACTTCAGTATCTCCACTTGAAGATCTTAAATTCATATCCATTTGCCTAAACCTGAACTCATCATCCTCCTCCAACTGCTCTACCCACAGCTTTCCCCATCTCAGTTGAAGGCAGTGCCATCTCCCACTCCTATTGCTCAAGACAGAAACCCTTAGGTTGTCCCTGACTGTTTCTCTCAGCTCTGCCTCCTAAGTGTGTCCATCATCCACCTAAGTCTCATCGCTTCCACTGCTCCTTCATAGTGACTTCTGCCTCTCCCCATCCCCCTACAGTTTAGTCTTAAGAGCGAAGCCAGGGAGAACCTTTGAAAACCCAAGTCACATCATGCTACTCATCTGCTCACACCCCTGCCAAGGCTTTCCTGAGAAAAAAAGTGGGACCCGATCCTCATTACTGCTGGGACTTCCTCCCCCACTGCTCTCCCTTCACTTTCTTCATTCTGGGTCCTTGCTCTTCCTCAGACATGCCATGCACACTCCTACGGGGGGCATTTGCTATAGTGGTCTCCTCGGCCTGGGCCACTCTGCATCTACCTGCCCACTCGGCTGCCTCCCTTTCCTCCATGCCATCTTAGCAGAAACCTCACGCTGTCCCCCTTCCTGGCACTAAATATTTTGTTCTCGGTGGCACATACCATCTTCTAACAGTTATTTTTGTTGTATCTATCACTTATTTGTTTACTAATCTATGTGCTTAGAACAGTGCATGGCACATTGTAGGTGCTCAATAAATATTGTTGAATGAATAATATTAAAATCTATGTTAATGCTGCACTTTAGAGATTACAGACATCTCTAGAATGAGAGTATTGGGTGAGATAATATAGCACTTGTATAGTTGAAAATATATCAATTGTATAGTTCACTGCACCTCTGTGAAGCAGAGAGTTGACTTATTGCATTGATATTGGTGCCATGAAGTGTTAACTTCATCAGGCACACATATGTGTGTGCGCATGGGTGTTGAACATCCCTAATCCGAAATCTGAAACGCTGCAAAATCGAAACTTATTGAGGACCAATATGATTCTCAAAGTAAATGTTCATTGGAGCATTTTGGATTTCGGATTTTTGGATTAGGGATGCTCAACCTGGATGTATTCTGCTGATATTCCAGAATGCAAAAAGAAAAATTATTCTGAAATCCAAAACACTTCTGGTCCCAAGCATTTCAGATAGGAATATTTGACGTGTGTGTGTGTGTGTGTGCATTCGTGTATGCATCTTGATTCCTGATTTGTCTGCAGAATGAAACCATGTGCTGGAAGCTCCCTAAACCCATTTCTCATGTGGAGCCTCTGGGGAAAACATAAACTTCCCAGCCTGCTTTCTGGGTGTGGACAATTTTTACAACATCTAAGACATTTGAAACTATCTCCACCCCGTGTTGTTGGTGCCACGGATAGTTGCATAGATTTATGGATCCATCATGTTATTGTACAACCTGGCACAAGAGCCAATAAGTGTGATACTGTTTTATTAGCATACAACCTGGCTTTCATCACTTTTGAGATGGTTTTGTGTCTAAGATTTATGTCTAAGGAAGAAAGCTTCCTTTGAGAATTGAGCTCGTTGTTTTGATTTTTAGAAGCACAAATTGGATCTTGTGTGATAGCATTCAGTAGGTGAGGCTCAAGTAGGTCTCCTGCTCAGGCTGGGACAGTTGGCCTTCTGAAATGTCTGGCTTGATAACTTGGATGAGGGAAAAAGGGAATCTGACAATTATTAACAGCTGTGAGCATCATATTATACTTTTCATTTGTGAAGTTTATTTATTTATTTTTGAAACAGAGTCTTGCTCTGTCACCTAGGCTGGAGTGCAGTGGCACAAGCTCGGCTCACAGCAACGTCTGCCTCCCAGGTTCAAGCGATTCTTGTGCCTCAGTCTCCTAAGTAGCTGGGATTACAGGCGCACACCACCACACCCAGCTTAATTTTTTTTTATATATATATTTTTAGTAGAGACGGGGTTTCACCATGTTGACCAGGCTGGTCTTGAACTCCTGACCTCAAATGATCCACCCACCTTGGCCTTCCAAAGTGTTGGGATTACAGGTTTGAGCCACCATACCTGGCTAAGTTTGTGAAGTATTAAGATCCACTTTTCTGAGTCAGTAGATAATCTTGTGCTTATCTTATATTTTAATCTATATTACCCTACCCAGAGTTAATGATTAGATTATATACCAGGAAAGATATTGCATAACATCCCTCCACCAACTGTGAATAAATAGTTCATGTAGGTATTCTTGCTTCTCTTATCAAGCTATAAGGAAGGATTCCATTTATGAATCTTTTAAATACCACCAAGTGGGTATGTCTCTGAATGATTTGTTGAATGTACCATTTAACTGAAATATTTACAGCTGAGATGATTTAATGTCTGGGACTTGCTTCCTATAGCCCAGAAGATGAAAGAGGGGAGCATAGAGGAGACGTTGATCATGAGTTGTTATTTGTTGAAACTGGATGGTGTATACATGGGGGTTCATTACACTCTATTTTTGTGTATGTTGGAAATTTCCCTTGAAATAGGTTAAATGGGGGAAAAGAAAGAACCTTGGAGAAACATGTACCATTTAAACCAAGCTCAGATGTAAGTATGTGCTGTATCAAAATAATGGAAAATGCTATGTGGCTAAAGATGAACCAAGTTTAACCTTAGAAAATTATAGGGCCATAGTACTATCGTCCTAGCTGATTGACCTCGGCAAAGTTGGCCTCAGCTGGGCCATCTGTAAAATGGGAATACTTTTTTTTTTTTTTTTTTTTTTTTTTTTTTTTACCTATCCTACCTCACAGGACTTAAAAAATACATACCTGAAAATACTTTCTAAATGTGACTCATTTCAGCTAGCATGTATTGAGTGCTCACTAATTATGCTCAGTACTGACGATACAGTGGTGAGGGAGACCACGTCACTGCCCTCAGGGAGCTACAGAAAAGTAAATAAACAATAATAATAGAGTATAGGAAATGCCATAATCAGGCTGAGAACAGTGTTGTGCTGTAGGAGCCCTCAGGCATTGCAGGAAGTGGTGAGTTATTAGGGAGGCTCGAAGGTGTGTGCTCGTTCATGTGTGTGTGTACCAGCTTCTTACAGGAAGTGATGTTGAGGCTGAAAACCATGGGTCCAGTAGGCATAGAGTTATTAAGGTAGGGAGAGCAACATCTATAAATGCCTTGAAGGGTGAAAGAGATAGCAGAGATTATGTGTAGAGGCTCCAGCAAGATGTGGGGAAAGAAGCAGGTCCCAGATCATGAAGAGTCTTGTGAGACTTGTTAAGAAGTTGGACTTGATCTTGAGAGCAATGGGAAACT